CACAGCTCTTGAAAGTTCTCTAGCTGCAGCGGGAGACAAGTATGTCTTCATGCAAAAACTCAGAGACTTCATTTCTGTTATCTGCGACTTCATGCAGGTATGCTTTAATATAATGATGTGTCTTTGGTCATCTACATATTGCTTATGTTGCAAGCCAACTGGTTGTTAGAACAAAACTCCTAATGATTGTTGTGAATTTTCTTTTGCAGGATAAGGGTTCCATAATTGAGGAAATTGAAGATCAGATGAAGGAACTTAATGAAAAACATGCTTTGTCTATTCTAGAAAGGAGAATTGCAGATAACAATGATGAAATGGTAGAGTTGGGGGTCGCTGTGAAAGCAGCAACGGCAGTTCTTAACAAACAAGGAAGGAGTACTTCTGTGATTGCTGCTGCCACAAGTGCTGCGTTGGCTGCCTCTGCTTCTTTAAGACAGCAGACAAATCAACCGGTTAAGCTTGACGAATTTGGCAGAGACGAAAACCTTCAGAAGCGCAGGGAAGTGGAACAGAGGGCTGCAGATAGGCAGAAAAGGCGGGCTCGATTTGAAAATAAGCGTGCAGCAGCCATGGAGATTGATGGATCTTCTTTGAAAATAGAAGGAGAATCAAGCACCGATGAGAGTGACAGTGAGGCTTCAGCTTATAAGGAGACGAGAGATAGCTTACTTCAGTGTGCTGATAAGGTCTTTAGTGATGCATCTGAGGAGTACTCCCAGCTTTCAAGGGTGAAGGCAAGATTTGAGAGGTGGAAGCGAGACTATTCATCTACTTATCGGGATGCTTACATGTCTTTGACCGTTCCTTCCATTTTTTCACCTTACGTAAGACTGGAGCTTTTGAAATGGGATCCTCTTCATCAAGATGTGGATTTCTTTGACATGAAATGGTAAGCTACTCGTGATTTCCAACTTTCCTAATTATCCACATTGTCAGAACACAGTTCACTTATACTATCTCGCAAACATTAGTCTCTGAGCGTGTGTGCTAAACCCATTAGTTTTACATTTTTGGAAGGGATCTGACTTGCAATTTGTGTCTCCAGGCATGGGTTGCTATTTGATTACGGGAAGCCAGAAGATGGGGATGATTTTGCCCCAGATGATACTGATGCCAACCTTGTCCCTGAGCTAGTGGAAAAGGTTGCGATTCCCATTTTGCACCACCAGATTGTTCGTTGTTGGGATATACTTAGCACTCGGGAGACAAGAAATGCTGTTGCTGCTACAAGCTTGGTGACAAATTATGTTCCTGCTTCAAGTGAGGCCCTAGCGGAACTATTTACTGCTATTCGTGCCCGCCTTGTTGAAGCCATTGCAGCTATTAGTGTAAGAATTGAAAATTTTACATCTCTTGCTAATTCCTTATAATCCCCATTGAGTCTGATATGAGATACTGGACTAATGATTTCCTCTGATTCTTTCTTTATTCTCCAGGTTCCGACATGGGATCCTCTGATATTGAAGGCTGTACCGAATGCTCCACAAGTTGCAGCATATAGGTTTGGGACATCAATCCGTCTTATGAGAAACATATGTATGTGGAAAGACATCCTGGCGCTTCCAGTGTTGGAGAATTTGGCTCTTAGTGACCTTTTGTTTGGAAAAGTTCTACCCCATGTCAGAAGCATTGCATCTAATATCCATGATGCTGTGACAAGAACTGAAAGGATCGTTGCTTCTTTGTCTGGAGTATGGACAGGACCAAGCGTCACAAGAACCCACAGGTAACAATGATATACCAATCAAATCTATAATTTTCGCTTTTGCTTGCTCATGATTCGTTGTAGTGAATCATTATAGTTACATCATGTGTGAATATCGTTTATCATCTCAATTACAATCCGTCTGCACCCAAAATTAAGGTATTATTTTTACGAGTGCAATGCTATTGAATCGGGACTGAGATATGTACATTACATACTTCTATCTTGGAAAAAACTAGGTGCGTCCCTCAAAATCAGGAGTATTGGTCATTATACTTTTTTTGGAATCGCAACCCTAGACAAGTCATCATCATTATTTATCTTCATTTGGTTCACATCAGTATCTTTTATCAGAACTATACCAAGTTATGTTAAACCTTCGTGTGAACATACTAAAATGTTTTCATTAATTTTACAGTCGTCCGCTGCAACCTCTTGTGGATTGTACTCTGACGCTTAGAAGAAATCTCGAGAAAAGGCTTGCCTCAGGACTGGACGATTTGGAAACTACTGGTCTCGCCCGCAGGTTAAAGAGAATACTAGTCGAGCTCCATGAACATGACCACGCAAGGGAAACTGTCAGAACATTCAATCTCAAGGAGGCAGTTTGATGAACACTTTTATAGGTGTGAAACTGGAAAGTCAACTCAGAAATCTGTAGCCTCAAGTTATCAGGTACACCTTTCAGACTGTACCGCGAAGCCTGATGGACGATTTATATTGAGAATTAAAACTCTTGAACTCCAGGAAAGTGAACATTTGCCGATCTGGTACATCAATACATGTTCCTATGCCCTGAGGATTTTACATTTCAAGGTGTATTAGGTTAGCACCAAAAGCGAAATCCATTTTCAGACACAGAAGAGTTTTAGTTAGTACTTTGGCTTGTGTAAGTAAAATCTGTGCTTGTAGAAGAGCTTATACTAAAATAGAAGCTAAAGTATATTGACTTATTGAGTCCTTTTTTTAGTTTCCCTTTTATATCTGTAAGAGTTTAGACTTAGCAAAGACGATGTTTCTTTTAATATAAGCCACGACTTGTATTGATGTGCTGCATTTCAGATGGAGTAAATTCCTATTACAAGTAGTGTCATGCTTTATCGCAAAGACAAATTTTGGTTGAAATCAGACGTCATCTGCTGTGAACAAACTTGTGATATAAGCCAAAGAACAGAAGATGAAAAACCCCTTGGAAAGAATCCTAGTGTTGAAAATGGTATTGGAACAAACATCTTAAGGAGTTGTGTTTGAGTCATCTTCTGCATTTGAATCTTCTTCTTTATCCGAGGAAGACTCTGCTGTTTTTTCAAATTCCACCATTTTCTCGAGTGCCTCTATGTCTCCAGCTTCAGCAAGCGCATGTATCCGCAGCTTCTCTGCGTCTTCACTGAAATGTTTTGTAGAGAGATATGGTCAAGTCAAAGGTTGTAAAAGCACAAGAATAAAGATGCGATTTGAGAGTTATAACTTACTCTGTAACTCCGAATATTTCCTTGACGATTAAGGAGTTGTCTTTTGAGCAAAAGTCAGGAAGCTATTGAAAAGAGAATGAAAGAAGTTAGAACATTGTATGCATATTTGGCTTCATAATGAAGATGTTGAGAGAGTAAGCAGATTATCTCAGGTAAAAGTAACGTTTCGGTATGCCATTACCTCAGAAAGATAGTAAATTTTTCCAAAAAGCGCCTGCACAGCAAGTTTTCTCTTGAATCCTTTTTCTGTAAACCCTTGCATTTTCATCACTACCGGACCTGCAAAACCAAATATGTCAAATAGCAATAAAAGAAGACCAATGGAGATAACCTTAGGCTTGTTTGGTTACCTTTTTCTTTAACAATGCGACGAGAGATCTCATTTAAAATCTCAGGAATCTGAGAATCATTCAAACCAGAAGCTCTTCTTAGATGAATAAGATCAGCAACAAGGTCGGGATTAAACGGTTTCTCATTCAACGCATAGCGAATGTATTTCCGCAATATCTCGTCCATGTTGAACTCTGTCTGGATGTTGAAAAACAATGTCAGCATTCCAATGTCAAATTCTGGATTGAAAAGATGAGCTTAAGTTTAAGATCAATGATGACTGATACATTATATTCAGACCTTTTGTTCAAGTGCCTTAAGCTCAGAGCTATGCACTGTTCCATCTTTCCGTAATAGCTCATCTATAGATCTGCAAAGCATAGCATTCTGATTCACCTGCACATATTCATAAAAACAAAACAAAAGAAAACCAAAATTTGAATTAGTTATTTTCTTCAAGTAAGGATCACAAAAGAGATAGATAGATAGATAGATGGAGAACTGAAACAGTTCAGAGACCAGTTTCCTGCGTTGAGCTTTAGGAGAAGAGAACTTCTGAACGGTTTTGACAAAAGCAGTGACGAAAGTGACGCCGGCGTAAGCTAACGGAACGGCGAGCATCCACGGCAATTTGCTACTTCCAACTCGAGGACCTGGAATCGCCTGAGTCACCGATCCAGTGAACTCGACTAGGTCCAACGCCTTCTCCTGAATCCACAACATATCTTCCTCTACTTCCTCTTCTGTTTCCTCCTCCACGCTCGAATTCTTCTTCGCACTCGGAGTCGGAGCTGTGACACTCTCAGATTGTTTCTTCGACGCTGCGGCGGAAACAGAGATTTGTTTCGGTCTCAGCTGGCGGAGAGGGGGTAGTGGGACGAACAGTAGTTGTGTTCGAGGGAGAAGCAATCGTTGGCCATTGCTCTGCCTTCTAGTTTGGAGAAATTGAGATGAAGGTAGGAGAAGAGACGTCATTGTTGAAGCTCGACGATTTGAAAAGACGGCTTCGGATGCGGCGGAGCACTGCAGAAAAGGCAAGCTTGTCAGAAACTACGACGAAAGCGAAGGAAGAAGATATAACAATTTTTGTTTATTTAGGACGTTTTAATGGGCCTTCCTTACTCGGCCCATTTATTTTAACTAAATATATCATTTTTTAATTTTAAAAACAAGAAAATGTGAATTCAGCAGACAAAAATTAGTCTTGTAATTACCCAAAGCTAGAATTTCCAGTAACTCACAAGTCTCATGTTTGAATCAGATCATTTATTCCATTTTCTTCCACAATGTAAAGTGAAATGGTCATGCTATATGCATGAGTAAGCCAATGCAAGGCACATGAACATACAAATTAGAAACTTACAAGCAAAACCTTTGCTTGCATTGTCTGCAATTTTACGTTCATTATCTTTCTTTCTTTTTTCCTTTAAGAATGTTTATAATTGTCAAAAGGTCGATTCGTCAGTCTACAGATGAATGTTTGGTAGAGAGAATTGAACAAATGATTCTATAACTATTTCTCTTCATTGATCAAGGCAAAAGGAAACAGAGTTATTCTAATTTTGCAGTAAATACAGAAAGCTTTTGGAACATCCAAGTCAATGAGAAAACCTAGTTTATACATTATCAGGCCAGAACTCTCTATAGAAGGCTCGTTCAAATTCTTTTTCCTGTAACTGTTTTTCGTGCTCCATCATCTTTCGCATTTTCTTAGAAAGTTTCTTGCTGGCCTTTGAGACTTCTTCATCCTGAAATTTAGAGTGCGGAAATGAATTATTAGTTTCTACTCTGTGGAAATGAATACCAACTATTTGGAGCACGCTAAGCATATTGTAAAACAAATAAAACAAGAACGGTCATGGCTACATGATAAAGTAAAACCAAGTCCAACACTATTGACTGATGCAGACTCTTTATCAGCGTGCACACTTTTTCACCATAAGGTAGTTACGGATTTATAAGGGAATCCAGACCTTTTCTCTGTGTCCAGAAGCTGTAGCCTGTGCTGCTTTTCTCTTCCCAGGTTGTTTAGCTCCCAGTCCTCTTTTGTTATATTTTGGCTCTGCTTGTACAGGCACCAGTCTACCCTGTTCGGAACAAGAACAATTAGAAAAGTGAAACATTCTTATTGAGTGGCGGGAATGACATTGCATCAGTAAATGCATTCCGCAACTAGCAGGAAACAAGTATGATGCAGGAACACTGCGTTTCCACAGCTAGACAGAAACAGAATTGATATAACAAGCACATGTGAAGTTACCTGTTCAGCGATTCCAAGACCAGTGCCTTCCTTCCAGCCATGCTTCTTTAGTAGCTGCATATTCCAAATTTATACCATTGGTTTAAAACCGGTTATACCATTTAAATCAAGGAAAACAAACATAGACATTATAGATAAAACACGCCTCAACATAAATACCTGAAACCCAATGTTTGAAGAATTGATAGCAGCTGATGAACTGCTTGATCCGGAGGGCTCACCCATAACGTTCGACACCTAAACACAGTAATTCAATTGTCAATTCTCCTTGCTTTTTTGTAGTCTATTCAACACAGCTAGAAACAGATCCAAAAATTTCCTACCACTGGACAGTGGCAAAATACAACGTAACTTACCTCGTCACTGTTTTGAGAAACGGTTGCCTGAGACTTCATTGTTCTCTTCCTCCATTTTATCTTTAGTTTCTCTGCTCCCAGTCCAAGTTTGTTATGTTTCACCTCCGTGTCTATAGGCATCAGTATCCCCTGCTTGCAAGTAGAGCAATTTTCAGGGAAATTAAACACAATGACTATAATTACGAAAAACAACAAATCGAAATCGAAAATGACTAGTAAAGCGACAAATACAGACACTCGCAAAAAAGCTACTACTAAATAGTTGGAATTTGGAAAGCACATACTTATAGGAAAACTACTGAAACAACACTTGGAGAGCATGCATGTAACCAAGAGAATCCACAAGAACATACCTAATAATTATAGTATGAAATATTATACCATTAAAAAGCATACTAACCAAAGTAGCAATTACAAGAATCAAAGAGCTCACCTGTTCAGCAATTCCCAGACCAGTACCTTCCTGCCAACCGTGTTTCTTTAGGAGCTGCAATAACCCAATTGCACCATTACCTTAAGGTGCAGTCACTAAGGGATCAAAAGAAAAATAGAAACCACAGGAAACACAATTATCCCAAAACAACAACAGAACACAGACGCATCTAGATATGACTTTAATTATACCTGAAACCCAATATTGGCACCCCATGAACTTGTTGAAACCGAGGAATCTCCCATAACAAATCCAAACCTAAATACAATGAATCAACCAATCATCAGAAATATGTATAACATTTTAGTTTAGGATTAAATTACATCAATTGAATCATCATCATATTGGAGACAATAGATAGACGGCACTCACCAACAACGTGAATCTCAAGCAGAACGAGACCGGGAAATCCTAGAAATCGCCGAGAAGAGCTGATCAAAATTGGGCCTCTCTCTCGAACGGACCACCGCCTCTCTGCTAATCGCCGGCTTGAGGCAATTGGAAACTCAGAAAATTATAAAAAGACGCCTCAGATGTTTTCTCTATACAAATTATCCCCAATAGTTTTTTATATATATTTCATATTCAGACCCACATATTTTACGTTTATTGGGTTTTAAGATAGATTTATACCGGACCGAAATATTTGAGCTAGGCCCAATATAGGCCCATATAACATTAGAAAAGTTGACATCAAGAAGACGCGGACTAATCTAAACCAACCAGTTCATCTCGAGTTCGTCGGTCTCAGGTGGAGAGGGATTATAACTCGGTCCGTCCAAGCTACCTACACACAACACCTTACTCGCGTTGGTCTCAGGTGGCTTCAAGAGCAAACACCGTTCTCTCTCTACGACTACTTCGCGGAAATTTTTGTCTCCATGGTATGTAATCTGTTCTCGCGCACTCAATTTGATGATCTTCAAATTCATTTTTAGGTTATGTGTTTTTTTTTGGGTTTTCTCTCGATCGCATTTGTTAGGGTTTTCGGACTTTGAGACTTTATTTCCTATGTAGTTGAATAATTTTAAAATGCGACATCTTCTTTCATATAGATCTAGCTGGTTCTGATTGATTGTAATTTGATTTGTCATTTTGATCTGCTCGAGGTTATCGATTTTTCAATAGCGAATGGGTTTATTCAATTCCTTTAATTGGTTTCGTGATGTTGAAATAGTGGTTTTATCGATTATCTCATTCTCAGAAACTTTACCAAATCAGTGATATCGTGCTACAAAGTTTTGCTTTTGAACCAGAATCATGCGTCTTAGTGTTTGTTACTTTGAATTAATCGGCAATATAACCTTTATGGTGGATGGATTTGATGATAGGCACCCGTGAGGGGGATTCTTGGCTTGCAAAGGGCAGTATCCGTTTGGAAGGAAAGTAACAGATTGACTCCAGCTTTGAGATCATTCAGCACCCAAGCTGCATCAACTTCTACCACTCCACAGCCGCCTCCACCTCCTCCGCCTCCGGAAAAGACTCATTTTGGTGGTCTCAAGGATGAAGATCGGATCTTTACCAATCTCTATGGTCTACATGACCCATTTCTCAAAGGTGCGATGAAGAGAGGTGATTGGCATAGGACCAAAGATTTGGTGCTCAAGGGTACTGATTGGATTGTTAATGAAATGAAGAAATCTGGTCTTCGTGGACGTGGTGGTGCTGGTTTCCCTTCTGGTCTTAAGTGGTCTTTTATGCCTAAAGTATCTGATGGCCGTCCCTCCTATTTGGTTGTCAATGCTGATGAGAGTGAGCCTGGAACTTGTAAAGATAGGGAGATCATGCGTCATGACCCTCACAAATTGTTGGAAGGGTGTTTGATTGCTGGTGTTGGAATGAGAGCTAGTGCGGCGTACATTTACATCAGGGGTGAATATGTGAATGAACGTTTGAATCTAGAGAAGGCTAGAAGAGAAGCATATGCAGCTGGTCTCTTGGGGAAGAATGCATGTGGTTCTGGATATGATTTTGATGTTTATATCCACTTTGGTGCTGGTGCATACATTTGTGGTGAAGAGACTGCGCTTCTTGAAAGCCTTGAAGGGAAGCAAGGAAAACCTAGGTTGAAGCCTCCGTTCCCTGCTAACGCTGGTTTATATGGTTGTCCCACAACTGTTACCAATGTGGAAACAGTGGCTGTCTCGCCTACCATTTTAAGGCGTGGACCTGAGTGGTTTTCTAGTTTCGGTAGGAAGAATAACGCGGGGACAAAGCTGTTTTGTATATCGGGACATGTAAACAAGCCATGCACGGTCGAAGAGGAGATGAGTATACCTCTCAAGGAACTGATTGAGAGGCATTGTGGAGGTGTCAGAGGTGGATGGGACAATCTACTTGCTATCATCCCTGGTGGCTCATCAGTTCCTCTGATCCCTAAGAACATTTGCGAGGATGTGCTGATGGATTTTGATGCGCTCAAGGCTGTCCAATCAGGGTTAGGAACCGCAGCAGTCATTGTGATGGATAAGTCAACCGATGTTGTGGATGCAATTGCAAGGCTCTCTTACTTCTACAAGCATGAAAGCTGTGGGCAGTGCACTCCTTGCAGAGAGGGAACAGGTTGGCTTTGGATGATCATGGAGAGAATGAAAGTTGGCAACGCAAAGCTGGAAGAGATTGATATGCTCCAGGAGGTAACCAAACAGATCGAGGGACACACAATCTGTGCATTGGGTGATGCAGCTGCATGGCCCGTGCAAGGTCTGATAAGACACTTTAGGCCAGAGATGGAGAGAAGGATTAGGGAGCGCGCTGAAAGGGAGTTGCTACAGGCTGCTGCTTAAGTACCTCGTTAACCAGAGGTTTGCGTCTCCAGTCCTTGCTGATTTTTATTCCTCTCTTTTAATTATCTGTTGCAACTTTAAATAAAAGCAGAGATCTAGATTTTGAGCAGCCTTAGTTGATTGTTAATGTGAAAAGGTAGACTTCCTGCTCTAGCCTAACCTTACGAATTTGGTTTTGTTATTTTTTTTTGTTTTTGCAGGGCATTTGATATTTGTTTCTCCATGGAAATAAGATCTGAAAGAACACTATTTAGGGTATATGGGATGCCAAGGAATTTCAGAAGTACAAGAAGGTATTGTATTTGTTTAAATGGTTGATGCTAAACTTGTATCAAGTTGTATCAGAAAGAGAGGTCTCTATTTGCTCTTCTGGGGTGACACAGCTTTTTCTTCATTGTTTGCTTGTTTTTGTTATATTATTATGACTAAGACTATGAGAGCACATTTTGGGAACCAACCAAACAAAACCTTTTCATGTTTGAAATAAAAGATGCTCCTTTTTGGGTTTATAAGTAAGTAAGTAGTCTACATTGGAACTAAATTATAATCAACGGGTTTTCTTTTTGGCCTTTTCTGGAAAATAGCTATAGGTTAGGAATAGTTGAATTTTGTAACATAGTTTCTTAGTTTGTTGATATAATAATAATAATAATACTAATAATAGTCCCAGATTGGTTTCGTAATTTAGCTTAGCTAGGACCAAAATATATATGGTAACTAATTCACCCAAAAGTGTAATGTCTTTTAGTTTTCCCATTGTTTAGCTAGCATCTGAGTTGTTTATTAAACGAGTAAAAAGTAGCACCTAGAAAAGAAAAAAGAAAAAAAGAACAATAATGGAAGAGATAGACAGAGAGATTCGGAATAAAAAAAAATGGGAGAAAAAAGGGAAAAAGATAAAAAAGAAAGAAGAGAAGGGAGCCTGTGAGTGTGAGGGACAACAAGTAGGGAAGGGGACCGGTCTGATTGGATCTTTTTGGTGGGATATTTATGGATAAGACGTCAACATCTTCCCTAACTTCTTTGTCCACCTCTCCCACCCCTTTTCTTTTCTTTCTCTTTTTGCCTTTTTCCCAATTTCTTTGGTAATCTTTTTAATCTACTGAATCAGTAAGTTGTAAATAAAATTAAAATTATTACATAGTTTAAATAACTTAATTATCAACTCTGGAGAAATATCTCATTGTATCTTGCAAAATGTTTTTTCTTTCACTTCATAACTTTTGATTTTGTGCTTGATTAACCCTACAATATCACATGAATACAACATAACGTACTATCGATCAAAATAGAATGTAGAACACAATTCTAAAATTGTACAAATAAAATCGGAGTTATCATTCTAGTCTTTTTTTTTGATAAACCCTTTTTGTTTATCATTCTAGTCTTTAATCTCTACTAATTATGATTGATCCTTATATACTATTTTAGATATAATATTTTAAGACTTTTCACGCGTATATAAAAATTGTCATCAATTTTAATTTGAGATCATCCGGTCTGGTTATTTAAAGAAAATTTGAAGTTTGTTGATTTCACATTTTAACTGTTTTATAATTTGTTGACAACAAATAATTTAATTACTATGCTTTTAAAATACTTCAAAAGGGTTTAAAACAAAACAACAATAACTCTTCCTGAAAAAAATATATAGTATTTGCAAAAAGTAAATCCTATACAATGACTAACTACAGAATCTGATATTGCATAGCCCGGAAAGTTTATTATTTTCATTGGTAATTTGTACAATTGTTGTTGGAAAAGCGTCACTTTTAAGTTATATAAACATTGGTTTTTTTTTGCACAAAAAAAATATAGTATGATTTGAGAATCTGAGTTTCATCAGTTTGAACAATTTTTTTTTTTGTTTAATTGCCTTGTGATTAAAAAAACACCGTACAAAATAATTATTATTCATCAATGATTGCCTAAGACCCCAAATGTCACCCAATAAAATATCTAAGGCACATGGTAACGCATAATGAAAATTGAAAAGTGAAGCACCTATGCAATTCACAAAATATTATTGTTTCCAAAGTTAAAAAAAATAAGCGTGTAAAATTACTCCTTGGCATCATGATTTAAATTTGGTCAACAAACAAATTCTTTTTTTTTTTTTTAACCTGGTACACTAATGTATGAGAATCATTGAGTCAACATAACCCAAAAAAATGAAAAATGAAGAAGGAAAAAGAAATAACAGAGGACTTGAGCTGTGAAAACTGTTGCAATCAATGAATGTGTGGGCGCTTATGGTTATCACTGTTTCTTTTGTTTGAACTTCCCCTTTAACAATGGCGTTTTGACCTCTCTCCTTCTCTCTCTCTCTCTCTCTCTCTCCGTCTTCTGGGTTATTCCGATTTCTCTTTCTCTCTCTCTCCTTCAAGTTGTTGCAATCCCTAGAAAACCCCTAATTTTCCATTTCCCTGCAAAGTTAACATTTTTTTCTTCTTCTTCTTCTTCTATCAGTCCTCCTCTTATTTTCATGGTTTCAATCTCCATATTGCTTTGGCCATCGGATATATCTTCGTGTTTAAATAGCTTATAACGATAAGTTAGATTCATCTTTCTCCTTTGCGTTTTAGTTCATCAGTAGAGTGTGTGCTGGGTTATTTTTCTGCCCTTGTTTTTAGGGAATTTGATTTTGTGGAAGGAGATAATTAATCGCTTTTCGATTCGTCTTCCTGTATAAATCCCACATCTCTTTTGTAATCCCCTAGTCTACTTGTTGTATGGTATTGTTAGATGTTGATTGGAATATCAGGGCAGTTTTATATTAGGTTCAGTGATACTCTGAAGATCTGAGTCTTGGTGTGTTTCTCAGCTTTTGTTATACTTGTGAATCTATTTAGTCACTAGTTGGAACCCTCACAGATTCTAAATTTGCATAAATCTGCTTTGTGCGATATCCTAGATTTTGGAGGAGGATTAAGGTAGATTCTATAGAATTTGGCCGGTTTTGATTTGGAAAATGACGGTGGAGGAAGTTAGTGATGCTTCTGCGTGGAGTAGGGAGGATGATATTGCCTTTGAGCGAGCTCTAGCCAGCAATACTGATGAATCCGAGGAACGGTGGGAGAAGATTGCGGCAGATGTTCCTGGAAAAAGTGTTGAACAGATTAAAGAACATTATGAGCTTTTAGTTGAAGATGTTAGCAGGATTGAGTCCGGATGTGTGCCTCTTCCTGCCTATGGGTCTCCTGAAGGATCAAATGGTCATGCTGGTGATGAAGGAGGAAGCAGTAAGAAAGGAGGTAATAGTCATGCAGGAGAGTCTAACCAAGGAGGTAAGTCAAAGTCCGATCAGGAGCGAAGAAAGGGTATTGCATGGACAGAGGATGAGCACAGGTGATCTTTCTTTATTTATGCTGCTAATCAGTTTCTGCTTCTTCTCAATTCTTTCCAATATATGTTTATTCTCTGCTCCATGTCTTCATTGTGTTCTAGAACATTGAAATTATTTTTCTAAAGTGACAATATTAGGTACTACTATTGTGTTGGGTGTCTAATTTTGTGTACCTTTGAGTAGTCAATAGTTTTCAGAGTCATACTGTACTTAGAAGCAAGACTTTCACTGGAAACTTTAGGTTCTTGGTCTCCTCTATCTGAGACTTTCAATGAAAAAAAGGAGAGAGAAGGATTGGGTTTGTTTTTAGGGGGACTGACCCGAGGTAACTCCAGAGGATGCTTTGAAAGAAAAGTAGAAATTTCTTTAAGTGGTTTGGTTCTGTGATATTTTCAAAAGTCTCAGATTTTATTGAAATTATAACTTGGCCTGGGACAGAGAAAGCTGTTCTCATAAATTTTCTTTGCTTCCCTGTCCTAGTTGCTCTATCATTACATCCACCATGTTAAGATGATGGGGAGATGCTATCTAACCCCCGGGACCATTTTGACCGTCTTTTTCACCACTTTTTGAAGCTAGATGTTGTTTTTCATGGTGAAACCCTTGAGAAAAGGATAGTTAGTCTATCCAGCTCTGTTATTGGAGATACCTTACCTTCCGTTTAGAAAGAGACAAGAAATTCTTACTCTAAAGATGATTAGTCTTCATTTTACTGTCTTGAAGATACAAGTGGTATGGGATATTAAAAACTGGAGTTCAGTATATATTGGAGAATGGTTATAGAAGTAGCATATAATTAATTACTTGACTGTTTTCTCACTTGCCAAAATATGGGAAACCGATGTAATAGTGAAGTCTATATTTGTTGATTAATTATTTTTGCTGGGAGAGTTAAAAATAATGCTTATTTGTCTGATTGAAGCCATTTTAACAGATTTTGCCATTATCTTCATCTAATCCACTGTCATCTTGATCTATTTGTCAAAATGATTTTTAGGTTGCGTTTGGCAATGGTTTGTGTGTTTTCATATTTGATACTATGGCTTGAAATTTTTTGCCCTATGGCTATGCAATGATTCTGATGAACTGTTGTCTTTGTCTTTTCAATGTTACAGGTTATTTCTTCTTGGTTTGGATAAGTACGGGAAAGGTGATTGGCGTAGCATTTCTCGCAACTTTGTAGTGACAAGAACACCGACCCAAGTCGCGAGCCACGCTCAAAAGTATTTCATTCGTCTAAACTCGATGAACAAAGACAGAAGGCGATCAAGCATTCACGATATCACTAGTGTTGGCAATGCAGATGTCTCGACGCCACAAGGACCAATAACTGGTCAGAACAACAGCACTAACAACAACAATACGAGTTCTACTGTTGTTGCTGGAGGAGGAAACAAATCAGCCAAGCAAGCCGTCTCTCAGCCACCACCAGGACCACCTATGTATGGAACACCATCGATAGGTCAACCAGTAGGTGGACCGATGGTCTCAGCAGTTGGGACACCAGTGAACCTCCCAGCTCCACCTCACATTGCTTACGGAGTCCATGCTGCTCCAGTCCCTGGTTCAGGGGTTCCTGGTGCACCAATGAACATGGGTCAGATACCATACACTCTGCCGCGTACACCAACAGCTCATAGGTAACTAGAAAGCACCTTTGCTGAGATAGTGCACTTGGTTTTAGATGTAAGAAAGATGTGTAAAGGATTTAGTGAATATTCAAGCTTGTTCCTTGAGTGAGTTTTTTTGTTACTTAGTTTTGTGGGGGATTGTTATGAGGTCCAAATAAGATATTAAGATCATCACATGATTAGTTTCAGATTCGAGAAGCAAAAAACACTCTTCTTTGTTTGTACACAATAAAGCCTCTGTTATGAGAGACTTGCAACAAGATAGACAAAGCAACGTTGTATATCTGTTTTTCACTCAACAATCTCTTTTGAATTATCAACTACAACGTTCGATTTCATGCTTTGAAGGTCTTACTCCTTTTGGATCTTTGTATACAAATAATATATGTGAACGAAAATTCATAGTTGTAGGAAAACACAAGCATTTGCAAAGAATAACATAAAAATACTCTGATATTTAAAGCACACCGACTATGAATCGCATTTATAAACAACACCTGATTATATAGACACCGACTATGCTCTAAAGACTCACGCACAAGAAAAAGACTTTTTGTTCACCTTTTTTTTTTTGTGTAATTTTGAGCACATATTTTTATCAACAATTGAATTATGTTTAGTTTAAGATTTAGACTTATCTGTATTTATTACAAATCATAAGTATATGTTTTTTTTCCAACGATTCGCTTTTTAATATACAGTAAAACCTCTATAAATTAATACTCGATAAATTAATAATCTCTATAAATTAATAAATTTATCCGGTCCAAACTTGGGACCACTGTAATTTTAGACACATTTCGATAAAATAATAAGATAATAAATTTTTTGAAAATCCTTTGTAAATATATGATCCCATCAATATTATAAATTAATAATTAGGTAAAATTTTCAAAATATATGTATATATATAGACACATTAGTTTTTGTTAGATTTTATTTCTAATATTTTACTATATGAAAAATAGTTAGCATTCTCTTTTAATACATAATAATTATTGTTTTATTTGTAATTGATTATATAAAATACTAATTATCATGATTAAATCTTATTTTTAAATATTGTTTTGAAAATATTTTCCAAATTAGGAATATCTCTTTATAAATTAATAATTATTAATTTATCGATAAATTAATATCTCTATAAATTAATAGATTTTCATGGTCCCAATATTATTAATTTATAGAGGTTTTACTGTATACAATAAACCTCTATAAATTAATAAATAGAAATTATTAATTATATAAAGTAAATGAGCCTAGACTGAACTTGCTGGGCCTATCGGCCTAAAATAGAAAAGGGATTTCTCATGCATACATTAGGTTTTTCCCGACGAAGATGACATATTGATCCGCGCGCCTATGAATGGTTTCTCTCTGATTCCATCTTTAAACACAAGCCTTAGCTCATTCAATGGAGTCCGAGTATCGCATCCGAGTCGCAGCAGAGTTTTGTGTGCGCGGAAGAGCAGAAAGTCAAAACGGAAAGCTAATAAACCTGCAGGTGATTAATTCTTTGGTTCATCAGATCAATTCTGGTTTCTCCGATCCGTGTGTGTGAGTGAGATTGGCTATATCCGTATCTGTATCTCTCCGAATGTTATGTAGTACGATCGCATCCTATTCCTATTCCTATTCCTATTCATATATATAACTGATTGATTATTATTACTGTCCCGTACGTGTTCTTCTACCTCCAAGTTGGCTATGCAGCAAGATGCAATAACATCTTTGATACCTTGTTTGAGCAAGCCGGGGGAGGGAGTCTATGTTACAGCCTCTACTATCATTTCCTTGAAAACTGTGGTCGAACGCTTGACGGCCCCGTTCCCCCAGCTGAATAATATTCCTGTCAGTGCTCTTGGCCTTGGACCTGTCACCACTGGGGATATCTTCAAGGCCCACAAACTTTTTCTTGAGGGTGGGACTGGGAATCCATTGTTTGCCACTGTCCTCGCTTTTAGCGTGCCGCTGACTCGAAACGCCAGTAAACTAGCTGAGACATTGGGAGTCAAAGTTATCTCTTCTGCCATCTCCGTTGATCATCTGCACCGACAGTTTGAAGAGTATACCAATGAGCTGCGAATGGAAAAGCAGAAGACAGAGGCTCATGATTCAGCATTCTCCCCATGCGTCCTCTGCATCTTACCCAAGTGTGTACTCAACAAGGAAGACCCAATTGTCGTGGGAGTTTATGTCCTCGAGGGTTCAGTTAGTGTATGGTTAATTTTGCTTCTCTTCGGTACTTTCCAGCGCTGGGTAGGTATTTGTTTTTTTCTGTTAACTTCCTCTGCTTTTGGTTCAGGTGGGGACTCCATTATGCGTTCCAAACAGAGCTTTTATCAATGTAGGACGGGTTGCATGGATTGAGAAGGACCAGCAACCTGTCGAGGATGCGAGGCAAGGCGAGAAGGTGATTATTAAGGTAGGGTTTAAGATTATCCTAACATCTTTTTTGGTCCTTTTACTGCTTCGATCATGGGAAATTGATTTACTTGTCATGTATTTATATATATAGATTGTTTCAGCAGACCCCAGAACAAAACAATTGATGTTGGGAAGAGAATTTGACGTTGGAGATGTTCTTGTCAGTCGCCTCTCAAAGAGATCTATCTACCATTTCATAATTCCAAGCTAAAACAACAAGTTTTTGAAACTGGACAAGGAGATGAAAAGCATGGAAACAGAGATAAACGAACAACACTGCACTATATATAATGTTTTGTTGAAAATGAGTTCATAACGTAGCAAATTTATAATGTCAAACGAACAATATTAGATGCTCAAGCAGGTAACTTGATCCCTGGAAAAGTGAATACGATTCTTTTTAATTATTGTTACATATTATTTGATATTGAGAACGCACTCCATATCAGACAAGAACTCGGAGTCCGCTATGTTTAATTGGTCCTGCAAGAAAAATTGAATTATAAATTTCAGTTAGCTAAGAAAAAATTGGTCGAAAAGGATTAAAATATATATATATAACTTTTTGTTCTGGTGGTGGAGTTGTCATCACGACCTTGAATTTAGAAGTGAGCGCATCCATAGATTCCCTAGTCATCTGACTGATAAGGATCCGATCACTAATGTCAAAATGCCTTCCAGAGCTAAATCCGTCTTGTTTCGGGTTTGATGGAACAATCTTGTGTATAGAGCAAACGAAAGCCAGTCTTATTATAACATTATATTAAGCTAAGCTATAGTTCCATGAGGATGGGAAGAGAGATAGTCTCTCAAATACCTACCTTGATCATCACCGCCTCGCCTTCCTCAGCAGATGTTACGGATTTCTGGTCCTTCTCAATCCATGCAATACGTCCTGTTTGCAGACAATCACGTCCCATATTGCAAATGGGAGTTCCAAGCTGAAAACCAAATAATGAATAAGAAACACAGCTAGCGATGCAAATATATAATATTGTTTGAATCATACGGTACTACCTTAATGAAACCCTTAACAACTAAAACTCCGAGGACTATTGGGTTGTCCTTGTTGAACACAAGGTCGGGTAAGATGCTGAGGACGCATGGGAGGATTGCTCCGTCATCAATTTTTGTTTCTTTGACATGCTCTTTGAATTCTTGGCACAACGTTTCAAGCACACCGCCAAATATGACTTTGACTTGCAATCGTTCTGCCAGTTGAGTGGCCTCCGGTGTCACGTCCACTTCAAACGCCAAGATGGTGGACAGCTTCCGTTTCCCGTCACTCGTTTTATAGACCTTCCTGATCTCCACTGGGGTGATCCTTCCTATGTCCAGGTCTCTCACAGGTATATTCACCGTTGGGGATCTCAAGAACTCGACCAGTACTTTCAAGGAACGTGTGGTGGAAGCTACGGCAAAAACACCCTCGTCACTTTTATTAAAATTCTTCACAGTTTCCATAATATCAGTATCGTTTCCAAAGCCCTCCTCATTGAAAATCACCATATCTGTTATCTCCGATGGTGTTTCTCCCGGAATATTAACAACATCTCGATCGGTCAAACTTCCATATATAGAAAAATAAAACGGATCAAATCAATAGATTTCATCGGTAAGAAAATTTAAAGGCCAAAAGTCACAAATCAAGCTTACTCGAAACTCCAAATCGCCGCCATGGGAGGAGAAGGAATCGGCAGTGGCTTGATTGGTTTCGACGATATGCATGCTAGGTGCTCCGTCGAACACAAAACCTATGACTCTGTATTTATGTATTAAGGCCCATCGAATAAAATAATAGCAAGTACTGGGTGGGTAGGGTAACTTATTATGGGTTTAGATCAGTATACCGGAACTTTGATGGTTCCTTCTTGTTTTTTTTTGGTTATCCCCGGTTTTTATGCAAAGAGAAATTGTCCTAGGAGTATGAATGCAACACGTGTGTGGCGTTTTGGTTTGTTTCAACTGGATGACACTGTGTTGCTGAATCTCATTTGATTGAATATAGGAATGTGAAGTCACCAAAAGATCACAATAGATTCAGTCAATGTTACTGGAAAAGTGAACAAATTAAAACATCTGCTTTCATATGCATAGTTGTTCAAGCTGACGCATTGAATCAAAGCCACTCTTCTCCGGTTTCATTCTCCTGGAAATTTCGTCAAGAACCTGATAAATCTCATATGATCTTGGGTGTGATTTATCTTCCACAGTAAATCTATGAACTTCAACCCCTACTTCCACAAAATAGCTATATCCAGCAGCCTTTGTCATCGTTTCCTTCTTCATCAACTTCCGCATCCTCAAAACTCCATCCCACTTCTCATTGACAGCGTAGATATTTGACATGATCACATAGTTACCTGGATTTGTAGGTTCTAGCTTGAACAGTGCCTCACTTGCTATCTCTGCTATCTCAACATGTCCATGGAAACTACAAGCACCTAAAAGGGTTCCCCATACCACAGCATCTGGTTTCATTGGCATTGTTTCGATGAGATCATAGGCTTCTTGCAGCTTTCCAACACGCCCCAAGAGATCGATCATGCATCCGTAGTGCTCCAGTTTTGGCGAAATCTTGTGAACTTCCTCCATGGACTTGAACAATTCGTGGCCCTTCACCACCATTCCACCATGAACACAAGCTAGCAGCAACCCAACAAATGTCACTGCGTCAGGTTTTTCTCCTTCTCGCTGAAGTACCATCGGAAAATCTTTAGTGTTAGAACTCTTTAAAACAAAGTAAACAACCTGAAGAAAAAACCAAAAAAATGCTCACCAACATTTGGGCATAAAGCTCAAGAGCTTCGTGGTGTTTCCCGTGAGTAGCTAGACTACCGATCATGGAGTTCCAGGAGCACAAATTTCTCTGGTTCCCAATTTCATGGAATAACTGTTTCGCTAAATCAATCATTCCACATTTTGAGTACATCTCTAGTGTAGCATTACACACGTAAATGTTATCAAAGAACCCGTTCTCTCTAGCATAGCTTTCTAGTCTTCTGCCAATCTCCAATTCCCCTAGATTCGCACAAGCGGGGAGAACACTAACCAAAGTAACATGGTTTGGTTTCACGGATTTGTCTTTCTCCATACACAAAAACATGGTTAAAGCTTCAGAGTAGTTCCCGTTCTGAGAAAACCCAGAAATGACGGTGGTCCACGAGATAACGTTCTTACAAGGCATGGAATCAAACAACTCCATCGCCGCCTTCATATCACCTTGTCTTTGGTAACCCGTGATCATTGTATTCCACACGGGTGCATCTCGGTTAGACATTTCGTCGAACACCCTGCGCGCACAACACAATTCTCCTAGCTTCGCATAGGCAGTGATTAGAGCAGTGCAGCAGAACGAGTCGGACTCAAACCCGGATTTGAAAAACTGCGAATGAAGCAACCGTAAAGGTCGAGCCGACGAAAACGAAGCAGAAGCTGCGAAGATGAAATTGAAAGTGTGGTGATTTGGACGGAGACCATCGAAGGAGAGGAGGTTATAGAGGACGATGGATTCATGAGGATGGTGATGAACAGAGTAAGCTTGAATTAGTTTGTTGTAGAGGAAGATACACGGGTTTCGATGAAGATCGAAGAGCTTTCGGGCATAAACAATGTTTTGAATCAGAAGCAATCGTTGTAAGAGATCTTTGGTTTCGTCTACGCCTCTTCTGAGACAGTGCGCGTGGAGTTGCTTGATCTGATTCATTCCCACGCGTCCACCTTTCGCACGTGCTAGTAACGTGCCAAAATCAGTTGAGTTGAGACGCCAAATATGTGTTTCGAAACGGTGACGTTTAGCAGTATTGTTTATTTATGTTTATGGGCTCAAATGTCGTTAGTCGCATTGAAGAAAGATTGAAGACTACGGCCCATAAGTCATTGCTCGCCGACGTCGTATTGGCTGACCTTGCAAAAAACAGAAAATGCAAGTATCTGTCAACAGTTTTATAAATTTATATAAAGTATTTTATTGTATATAGAAAAAGATTTATGGATTTTAATCAGATATATATATATATATCTAGCCATATAGGGATAATCTTTTATTATTTCAATATTTTTATTTAAATTCATGCTTATAAAATAAAATATGGTGTTATTAGATCTCATATTTAAAATTATATCAGATATCATTGTTTAGTACTCAAATGTTTTTATATAGAATCAGTCTTAACTTTAATTCCAAGAGATTTCCATTACCAAAAAAAAAATTCCAAGAGATTTCGCTAGTAAATTGTGTATTCAAAATATCCAACTATACTATACAATGATTTTATAATATTCACAAAAAAAAAAAAATGAAAAAGCTGACACATACTTAAAGAGATAAATAATACATCAGTGATTTTATTAAACATCGAATCTCTCAAATTCTCTCTTCTATACAAATAGAAACAAACCTCTACACAAATACTAAAAATAAACCAGAATAATTCATTATAAATAGTCTTGCATTGTTCTTTGATGATGAACAATCACATTAATTTTAACTATGGATTTCACTAAGAAAATACTAGTAATATTTGCTCTCACCATTATTATGTTGGGTAACTCGTCTGTTCATTGTCGTCCAAGTTTTAAAACCATGCCTTGTAAGATTTTGTTTGTCTGTTTCCTTTTGTAGTATTTTTTGGTAATTGCTTAGACGTACATGTTGCTTTCTCTTGGTAATTCACAATTGAAATTTGATAATCTATTCTATACCTTTTTGTTTAGTGTTTGGAGAAAAATTAACTCAGTGCTTCGACACAAACCCATGTATGCACGGGATGATGGGATGCATTAAGTTCTGTAGCTCAATGGGGACTGCGGACGGACAATGTAATAATGAAAACCTCTGTTGCTGCACACATTAAACGTTGTAATATTATTATACTTGCCTTTCATTCCAAAAAGATTACTGCATTCTGTAAAATTAAGACATTGAGATCGAGAAAGTTATACATAACAAAACTTAAGTATAACTAAGTGATATTATTAACACATTTTTTTCTTGAATCTAAAGAAATTCTTTTTGGATTTAAAATGCATTAACAATACTTTCTAAAGCAAAAAAAAAAAAAAAAAAGCTCAAAATTGTTAAGAAAGAAACAAAGCTAATTAGTTTGTTTTCTTGTCATCTTCTTGGTCAGTGATCTTCTTTGTATCCACGGACTCCTCCTCACCTCCAAAACCAAACTCGTTGACGCGTGTTTTGTCCACAGGATAAACCCATCTTTGGTACAAGTATATCAAGAATATCACATCTGCAACAAAAACACCAAAATTAGATCATGATCACCAAATTTTTGTGAATTCTTAAACCCTCCTTAGAGACCTGAATCAACAATTTTAGGGAAAGATGGGTTTGTATTTACCATCTCGGAAGACAGAAAGGCGATGCAGCATTGGCATTTTGATGACAAAAGCAAAGAGATCGTCGATGATTGTGTTGAGAAACTTATATGTCATTTGCCTCCATGGTAAATGTGCTACTGACTTCAGCTTATAGTTGATGAACAATTGAGGACACATCATAATGAAACCTGCAATCACATAACACATGGATCTCAACTCAAAAGAATCAACCACAAGAGATTTTTTTGAACTGGTCAAAGAGAATTTTGAAGGCTTTTTACCAAACATGTAGACGCAGCTCGTTAGTGACGATAGGATCCATGAGTACCAACTCTTGTGGCGTTCATAGGCAAGTGAATATATGGAGAAACCAGCGACAAGAAGGAGGAGCACATAAGATAAGAATTTAATGGCGATATCATCATATTCCTTGGTCTTGTTGCTTGAATAGGATTCACGGTCGTGGAACCTCAATCTTGGAATCACTCCACTTCGGTCAACCTGTAAAATTTATATGTTTTTCACCGGTTTATATACGCAAGGCAAAAATCAGATGGAAAAACATCACTTGCTGTTTTTTTCAGTGATGTTAAACATGCACAAAAACATTGGACTCAGTGGTACCTCGATGCGCATGGCTTTCCCTATTTTCCAGAACTCGATACAGACACCAACTCCAGAACTAGCCAATATCATCCATGAAGTGTCGTTGTCAAGCAGGTAAAGGAAGATGATGAACTGACAGATAAAGTTCAATACGACAGACTTAGCAGACAGTCCTTCCATAGATTTGTTCTTGTTCCAAAACTGGATATCTGTAGGGAAACCAAAATATCATCAGATAGCAAATATTTAGAAGCAACTTAAGAAAGTAGGTAGTCTTTTGTTGTTTACCATTTTTGAATGCGAGGAAGTCAAATACAGAATGCAGCATCGAAACAAACATCGTGACGCCCAAGAGATAGGGATTTCCTTCCAAAAACACCCTCTGCACGTAAATTATTAACCATGAAAAACATAATCACCGCAGCTCCAATTAACAGAAAACAAATAATCACATCCCTCTACTACTTTCGTGATTCCTACTTCCATAGACATAGTTAGACTAGTTAGACGCACATCTTAGTATGCAATATGACAATGAAGCTAACTGAACATAAAAGACCAGAGTTACCTTTAATTCGTCAGATTCACCATCAAGCATGCTTCCATAGCTACGGTGAATCTGGAAAGACTGATCAATCTGCTCAAAAAGCTGCCACTTTGTCATGCTTATGGGGCTTACTTCCAGATTAAGTGGTAGCTCGGAGACTGTCTCATTGATTAAAATCAACTTATCCCTCAACAGCCAAAACTCATTGAAGAAAACTATAGGGTAGTAGTTTACAGTACTAGGTTCCACCAGTAAGTCTGCCAATAAGTTAAGTAAAGGAAAGAGCAGATATGGACCATCATACCTATAGCATAGCGAAAAGAATTCCTCATACATTTCCCCATTTATTAAATGAAAGCAAAAAAGAAAAAAGGAAGCATAATGCACAAATATGATGTAGAGTGATGTGGCACTACTTTCTAGAACCCAGAAGGTTCTCGAGAATTTTGAATTTTCAAACAAGTTTAAGCCAGCTAAAGTTATGAATGGTATGGAAGATGATACACATGCTAGTGTCTTCAGTTGTAGAGAAATATGTGCATAGAGAGTTGTCAAAAACTCAGATAATAATAGGCACATCATCCTTAAAAATAGAAGGATACAAGGAGCAATGTTTGGTGGCACACCATGCTGGGGATAGCTGTAAGGAAATTGAAAACAATTAGCAAATTTCTTATGAGATTTACTGTTAAAAGTGAACTCAAAAGAAAAGCAAGCATGCCATAAATCCATTATTCATCTACCAATTATTAGTACTAACTAACTTACCGAGTAAAATCATCGACTAGGTTAATTGTGACATTTGGTTTCCAGTAGGATACCCATTCCACAGGGGCCTCATCCTTGAGATCTGAGTCCTTACCATCAACCTCCTGCAAATTCTGCTTTGTGTTAGTTCATAAGCATGTGTGCCATCACAGGCCAAACAGTAACATAAAAACATACAAAAAAAGCCATGATCAAAAGTTTCGTAGAGACACACCTCAACTTCAGCATTGGATTCATCAGAGTCTTTGGGATTTCCCAACAGACTCTTCTTCTTATCTGCTTTACGCTTTGGCAAGTAAGTCGCAACAGCTGAAATAGAGAAACGACTCGTCCAACTTAGTGAATACATTAATCCACCAATCAAAAAGGTTGGTTTGTGTAGGAAAGGGAGGTCTTACGGTGTATCTTGCCAAAACAGTTAAGAGGTTGGTATTCCGGATCGCTGGGATCTATAGGATAACCAGACCGAGCAAAGAAAACATGAGCATACAGACTTCCATTATTCTTAAGCCCCTGGAACAACAGAAGAGACATCGTAAGTCAATGGAGCCTATATACTAATCAAGGAAGAAACATCTGAAGAAACCCAAATAAATACAGTATCTATATCAGTTGAACAAGAAATAACCTCGGATGGATAATACGTTGTTGACAAGGTCCTAGTGCTCTCTGGCTTCCACACAGCATAAGGTATGTTTGTCTCGTGCCAAATAAGAGCACCTTCATTCCCAAAGTCATTGAATTTCACATGCTCCGAAAGATAAAACCACATATCCTGGTAAGAAAACAAAAAAACGATGGTTAACATCTAAAATCATATCGAGACATCATTCATAACCAAACAAACAAATCAGTGATCAGACAACCCTGCCACCAATCCAAGTATCCTATTCCAGAACCAAACCGGTGTTATGAAACCCACTGATTTATTACAGTAAAGTATCTGAAACACTTGTCAGCAATGTTTCTTCTTAATCATCTTACGAAAAGAGATGAAGCAAACTTCGAATCATTCACAATCACAAAAATCCTAAACCACCCAGAAGCGGTAAACACTTTGAAGAGACAAAGTCTGTGAATCGAACCCAGTTTTTGAAATTCAGAAGAGAGAAACGAATCAAATTGCAGAAACTAAACAAATCAATCGCAAGTAGTTATCACGATTAACCAGAAAATTACCATGGGCTCTCCCCTCTGAAAGAGATTGGAAATAAGGTGGGAAGGCTTAGAAGGATCCGCAGGTTTTTGTTTAGGAGAAAAGAACTTAGAAGCAAAGTAGCAGAAGACGGCGATTCTGATGATTCCGGTTATAGTCTGCCCGAAGCCACCAGCTTGCCGTTGCTGCTGCTGCGGCTGGCCATCAACCACCGCCGCTGTTTCACCTTCCGGTGGCGCCATATTCGTCGAAGATGCTGTCGTCAGTGCCGATTCAAGCTGAGAGTTCAGAGTTGTAACTTTATCGTAAGAGATGTGTACAGAGCAGAGTCGACGAGAGTATAGTATTTTATGGAGTTTATTTTTTCTTCATCTAATTATTCGAATAATAGTAGGAATGGTAAATTTTCAGTTAAGGACCTAAATTAGTTTAATATATTCTCAGTTAGCCCTTTTGTTTTAGTTAAATCAGAATAGTCCATATATGATATATTTATAGTTCCAGTTCACTCAGATAAATTCGCTCGATTGATGGAGACTGAACGACATATTCCTTGCTTGATAAAATTTGTTATTTGACAAAGATTCTGATTATTCAATTTCTCTATGTGTATCACATATGGAAAACGCTTATACCTGGTGTGTTGCAAGGTTTGAACGAAATTGTTCATGCATATCAAGTGTTTGTGTAAATGTCTGATCCAAATTCTGTAACGTGGCGTTGCTGGAATATTTAAGGGAAAGATGGAAATTTTACGGCAATTTGTTCAGAATTTCAGACTTTTGTCTGGTTTTGCAACTGATCACAGGGTTTTTTCGGATGTTATCAAAGCTTGCGCTTCAGTGTCTGGGATCACATCAGGGAGGGCTCTGCACGGTTGCGTGACCAAGCTTGGTCATGTGGACTGCAATGAGGTTTCGAAGTCAGTTCTTAACATGTATGCGAAATGTAGGAGGATGGATGATTGCCAGAGGATGTTCAGGCAAATGAACAGGGTTGATCCTGTTGTTTGGAATATCGTTCTGACTGGACTTTCGGATTCTTCTGCTCATGACACAATGAGTTTTTTCAAAGCGATGCAACTTGCAGACGAGCCTAAGCCCAGCTCCGTTACCTTTGCCATAGTTCTTCCTGTGTGTGCTCGCCTTGGGGATTCATACAAAGGGAAGAGTTTGCATTCTTATATTATTAAAACCGGTTTAGAAAAAGATACACTTGTTGGGAATGCTCTGGTTTCCATGTATGCCAAATGCGGGCTTATGTTCCCCGATGCTTATACTGCGTTCAATGGGATATCTGACAAAGATGTTGTCTCATGGAATGCCATCATTGCTGGGTTTTCTGAGAACAAGATGATGGTCGATGCATTTAGATCGTTTTGTCTAATGCTGAAGGAACCTACAGAGCCGAATTATGCAACCATTGCAAATATTTTGCCAGTTTGCGCTTCTATGGACAAGGCCATTGCCTATCGAAGTGGAAGCCAGATTCACAGTTATGTTTTGCAGAGGTCTTGGTTGCAAAACCATGTTTTTGTATGCAACTCTCTTGTGAGTTTCTATTTGAGAGCCGGAAGAATAGAGGAAGCAGCCTCACTGTTTACAAGGATGGGTTCCAAAGATCTAGTTTCATGGAACGTTGTCATAGCCGGTTATGCATCAAATCGTGAGTGGTTTAAAGCCTTGCAGTTATTTCAAAAATTGTTGCATGAGGGGGATATTTCTCCTGATTCAGTAACTATTGTCAGCATCCTTCCTGTCTGTGCACAGTTAACTGACTTGACCTTTGGCAAAGAGATCCATAATTATATTTTGCGTCATTCTTACCTTTTGGAGGATACATCCGTTGGGAATGCTCTCATTAGTTTTTATGCAAGATATGGTGACACGAGTGCAGCATATTGGGCCTTTTCACTGATATCCACGAAGGATATAATATCTTGGAATACTATTCTTGATACCTTCGCAGATAGTCCAAAGCATTTTCAGTTTTTGAAGCTCTTGCACCACTTGTTTAATGAATCAATAACTCTCGACTCTATTACTGTTTTAAGCCTAGTCAAATTCTGCACAAATATACAGGGAGTTGGTAAAGTAAAAGAAGTTCATGGGTACTCACTTAAGGCCGGTCTTTTACATGATGAAGAGGCACCCACGCTTGGCAATGCATTGCTTGATGCATATGCCAAATGTGGCAATGTAGAATACGCTCATAAGATTTTTCAGGGATTATCAGTGAGGAGAAATTTGGTTACCTATAACTCAATGTTATCAGGATATGTTAATAGTGGAAGTCATGATGATGCTCAGATGCTGTTCAATGAGATGGCTACTACTGATCTCACCACTTGGAGTTTGATGATTCGTATCTATGCTGAAAGTTGTTTCCCTAATGAAGCCATTGGTGTTTTCCGTGAGATACAAGTTCGAGGAATGAGGCCTAACACTGTGACTATCATGAACCTTCTTCCTGTTTGTGTGCAGGTAGCCTCTCTGCATCTAGTAAGACAATGTCATGGGTATATTATTAGAGGCGGACTTGGTGATATCCGCCTGAAGGGGACTCTACTAGATGTATATGCTAAATGTGGCAGCTTGAAGCATGCCTATTCTGTTTTTCAGTCAGATGCTCACAGAGATCTGGTTATGTTCACTGCTATGGTAGCTGGGTATGCTGTACATGGTAGGGGTAAGGAAGCACTTATGATCTACTCTCATATGATTGACTCGGACATAAATCCCGATCATGTTTTCATAACAGCTCTGTTAACTGCATGCTGTCATGCGGGATTAATACAGGATGGATTGCTAATATATGACTCAATAAGGACGGTTCACGGTATGAATCCTACAATGGAACAATATGCTTGTGCAGTAGATCTACTTGCTCGAGGAGGTCGACTTGATGATGCATATTCTTTTGTTACACAGATGCCAGTTGAGCCTAATGCAAATATATGGGGAACACTGTTAAGGGCGTGTACAACCTATAACAGGATGGATCTGGGGCACTCAGTTGCAAATCATCTGTTGCAAGCTGAATTTGACAACACCGGGAACCACGTTCTAATATCGAACATGTTTGCTGCAGATGCTAAGTGGGAAGGCGTGATGGAGTTGAGAAACCTAATGAAGAAAAAGGAAATGAAAAAACCAGCTGGATGTAGCTGGCTAGAAGTGGATGGGAAAAGGAATGTCTTTGTGTCTGGAGATTGTTCTCACCCTCATAGAGACAGTATTTTCGACTTAGTGAATGCTTTATATAATCAGATGAAAGAGCCTGTGGCGTTTTAATCGATGAAACCCATGAAACGTTACAAACCTAGATCATGATGCACATAGATTACAGAGAAAAATCTTTAGTGGGATAATGTAAGCGAACAATCTTCCTCTTCCATTGATATAGTTATGAAACGCTACATGTACATAATCTTTGGGATAGTAGGCAGAGAACAAGCTTATGATAATCTGTAGGATTTATGGTTTGCCACTTGAATTGGGAGAAGTTAAAGGAAATAAAGTAAGCAATTCTGGTTCTGTATACCCTTGTTTAGACCTTGGCGATGGATGCAAGTAAAAGCGTCTTTCTTTAATGGCTTTCTCCTCTTCTTCAATGTTTGTTGTACAACTATTTGGTTCGGCTTTTTCCCCTTCTATCAAGGACAAGTTAGAGAACAATGAAGAAGGGGTGCCCACTGGACTTGTTAAAAGGTTGGTATTACCAGATTTAGATGATGGTGTCGTACCAGTGGGCTTAAAGCTTAGAGGAGGTTTGACAATTTCAAGCTTTGGCCTCATGCATTGCCTTCTCTCATGGAGCTTTGAGCTTGGCCTCTTTTGTATGACAGTTTTTATCACTGTTGCTTCTGGTGTTGCTGTTGCAGAGTTGTTCTCTGATGGACCTGTCAAGCGCTGCACAATTTCTCTGAAAGTGTTGGTGTCGGTTTGGACAAATGTAGTGACAGGCTTGCAGGTAGCAAAGTTCTGACTCCCTTTGTTATTCATATGTAAGTTTTTCTCTGACAAAACAGGCTTTGATTTACACCGATTTTGGCCTCTGACCTGCAACACTGCGACCATTTATGCAGTTGATCAGAAGATAAAAAATATTCAAACATGAAAGGTGACTTTGCAGAATGTAGTCCCATCTAAAGAACCAAGGAACGTCAGATTCATGTAGGAGTTCAGAAATGAGAGTGATGGGATTGGAAGGTAAAATACTCAGAAGTTTTCTCTAAATCCGGGATCAGTTATCTTTCTTATAGTCTTCCATTGTCATAAATTTTTCGAAAACAAGCAACTCCAAACATTAATAGCTTACAGATACAAAAGAAGAGGCAGTCGTGTACTCAACCCTTAGCATTTTAAAAAGACCACTAGATTCTTATATTATGTGAAATATCTGTGAGAAAGAAAAACAATTAAAAATTGGCTTTTCCTGAATTTGCTTTGACTTGGTGTATACTCAAAAATCTATGTCAAAGTTTGGTGTTATTACTAATTGTAGGAATGAAAATGAACAGGGCTTTTCATGTACTAAAATTTCTGACTTCTCCATCATCATCTTTACGGTGGTTACTTGTTCATATGATGAGAGAGCTGTTGATAGCCAAAGTTAATATATATCTCTAACTTTTTGGATTTCTGTTTGATGCAATCCTACGCAGGAATCACAGAGGATGAAGAACAGGACCAAAGACATACCTGAAGAGCAAGCCGAGGCAGCAAGTGAAGGTGAATGCGGATTTGAATGCAAATGCTGGTTTTTGAAGAAACTGGAAAATAAAACAGAAGGGAGGAAATATTATAGAAAGAGAGAGGGAGAGAGAGAGGGAGAACTAAAAGAAGATATAAAGACTGTTGTTTGGTCTAATGGTCACAGCTCAGAACTTGTTCATATACCAGAAAAGAGAAGAAAATTGAAGAGGAGCAAAATCAGGAGAAGAATATGGAGAAGAAAAAGACTATTCTATCCTTTTTGTTCTTAACCGTTTTCGGGTTTGGTGTTTTTTGTCACCTTTGTATTTTTGTTTGGTCAAACATCAAAAATGACATATTTTGTGATGAGTTAATTTCATTCTTGTCGTGAAGGAATGGAGAAAGGAAGTTAAAGAAGGAAGAAATGCATGCCGTTTCGGTTAAGGAGATAGCGAGAGAGAGACGTCACAGCAACCAACCCCTCTCTCTCTCTCTCTCTGCCAGTTTTCTAAACCAAACCAAACACTGTTTTGTTTTTATGTTTGGCTGTAATATGATGACCAAGATATTAACTGAACTCATGACAGTTTCTTAACTGCCGAAACTGACTCTGTTCGTTCTACTGTAAGATATTTTGGCTGACTCCTTTCAAGGTTCTTTCCATAACAACGTTTATATCACTGGCCTTGTCAAAGATAGGAGGAGGCAACAATCTTTATCTTCTCGTTCTTTTTTCCTTATTTTTTGGACAATAAAGTTTGTTTCTTAATAAAACTAATTGTTTTGTTTTACATTTTCTTATTTTTCTTTCATCAACTGGAACAAAATAAATTTTCATTGAAATGAAATGCCAAATTTATGGTTTTGTTAAACCAAAAAATAATTACAGCTTAATAAATTTCCAAAAATATCCAAACAAAATTTATGAATCTTCTTGTCTTCTTGAGTTTATTGATATAGGTTGTTTTGAAAAGTCTGTTTGGATCGTAGAACTTAACCCTATAAAGAGACCAACACATTATGGCTCTCTTAACGATCTTTATTTTAAAACTCAACCATTTTGACTATATTGCTTATCAGGAAAGTAAAATTTACACCATGATGTGATTCTACATTGTAACCATTTTTCTTTTTTCTTTTTGTCTTTGTAATTCCTTTAACTATTATGCTAAGGTTGCTCTTTTGCCCTTTGCTTCCCTCGACTACAAGCAAAGCAAGATTTTGATCTTGTTAGTAATCAACTACTGGGTTTGTATAAAAGAGAAAGGAATTAGACAGGAGAGGAGAGAGATACCGATTTTCTTGAATCCAGAAACTGGCTATATATGTCATAGAGCTTTTGCTTCTCGGTTTCAGAAACCGAGGGCTTCGTTTTAGAAGCGATCGACTTCAGAAGAGGATCGGTTATTATTGGCGTACTTCCGGTTTCGGGTTCATCTTCTCTGTTCAGAAACTCGTGAACAGCCGCAAGTTGTGCATCTGAGAGAAGAGCTTGAAGATCAGCTCCACTGAAGCCTTCAGTCATCAGAGCTATAGGTTCTAAGTCAATATCATCAGCCATCGGAAGCTGCAGAAATGCAGAAAGATATTTGGTCATTTTTATTTGTAATATTATATCGATAGCTCTAATTTACATATATGTCAAGGGAGACCATCAAATGATTGTGAGAATCCAGTGGAAATGGTTTAGTCATAGAGGATTCTAGTGAATGGTTGTTCAGATATGTAACATACTCTGCGTGAGGTTTGATGAAATAAAATGATTAGCAGAAATTATGTACCTGAGGGTACTAACCTTTCTAGAAAGAACTGTAAGAATCTCTAATCGTTCTGGTGGGGAAGGAAAGTCGCACAAAAGAAGACGATCAAGCCGGCCAGGCCTTAGGAGTGCAGGATCAAGTAAATCTGGTCGACTGTTAATGTGTACAACCATTATACAGTCATAATCCATCTTTTGTTTGTAATGAAAAACATAAATTGAGGACTAAGAACAGGCTTCAACATTAATAACTCCTATCATATATTAGATTTATTATTAACCAGTAACTCAGAAGAATCCAGCATTTCCAGTAGATTCTATGAATCCATTGAACAGTGAATATGATATGCAATATAGACCTGGTGTAAATACCTCGTTGCAGCAAAAACAAAGACCCCGGTTAGAACTTCAACTCCATCTAGTTCTGTCAGAAACTATGCAAAATAAAAATACGACATTAGATGTTTGAACTTTCTGTGAATCAAATATGCAGACTTTGAAGTAACTTACTTGATTAACAACTCGATCAGTTACTCCGGTGTTGTCATGTCCTCTCTTCGGAGCAATTGAATCGAATTCATCGAAAAAGAGTATGCACGGTGCTGCCGCTGCTGCTTTTGAAAATATATCACGGACCTGAGAGAAGTGTGTTTTCCATTATAGGAGATGTGGAACATTAGCTTTTTAGGAATAACAGTTGGAAAAGAACAAAGCTGTCTGTAAACTTTTCTCTAGAAACAGTTTCCAATGAGGTTTCTTTACCATTCTATTGTCTAATACAAGGTAAAGACTAAGCAAGAAACCCAGAAGAATCAAAATATATTCAATAGTCTAGATAAAGCATGTGCCACTAATGAACTGAAAAGGGTAATAACCCTTTCAAAAGGTTCTTGAAGATGGGAAAAAAAAAAAGGTATCATTCTTACCGCTTGTTCAGATGCACCAATGTATTTGTTTAACAGCTCGGGCCCCTTCACCGATATAAACCGTAGGGAACACGCTGCAGCAGCTGCGCCAACAATGTGAGTCTTCCCACAACCAGGAGGGCCATACAAGAGAACATTCGATCTCAAACGCAGAGGAGATTTTGCAAAGATTTTCGGATATTTTGATGGCAACTCAATCATCTGGACATGGAAAGAGAAAAATAAATTGCATATCCAAAATAATATCTCTACATAAGAACTGGTTCAAACTGTAGTTGTTAGCATAACTAGTAGCACTACATTATATGGACCAGTGTCATTATTTCAGTCAGATTAAGCAGGATAATTCAACTTATATCAACTCAGGGTCTTATAGAAATATTGTTACCCACTGAACACGACCTAATTTAGTAACAGAACATCCAACGATATAAGCAAAAGCCAGCAGACAATATGCAAGTACAAGATGCTTCCTGGTTGCAGTTATAATAGGCTAACAATGTTCGCAAATTTACCTAGCCCTCACTATTTAGATCTTAATGAGGGCCATGAAATCAGATATGGCAATCAGAATGATTATATACCTCTTTGATAGCATTTTTAATATCAGTCACACCTCCCACATCTTCCCACCCCAAACGACCACCTTCAGAGGCAGATTTTGTGATGTCACGCATGGCAACAGGCACAAATTCATGCATAGCTCGAGTGAAGTCTTCTTTGACCAAAGTATACTTGGAAAGATTTGATTCACAAGGTAGATGCCGGCCAATTGCAGCATGAACAGCTCTATCAACCAATATTTCCTGGAGAGAAAAAAAAAAAAGAGAATCCAAAGAGAGCACACTGAAAGTTGATGGACAGAAGAATAATCAAATCAAAACGAAATAGCAAGCTTAATATATATATAACATGAAAGTAACAGATATATCTTTTCTGGTGTTGGCAAAACAGCAAATTTAACAGCATATAGAAAATTATAAATACCAGGTCATACGCATCATATCCTTCACATTTAGCAGCTAAGTCAAGTAGTATGTCTTCTGAACAGTTTAAAAGGCGTTTCTGTATCTCGTGCTTCAGTATGGCCCCACGTTCCAAGGTAGCAGGAGCAGCCAGTTGCACATGAAAGTCAAACCTTCCTGCAAATATCATATGAATAATTCACATGAACTGATTCTGGTAGAAATAATATTTAAAACAGGTAGAGATAGCGGTATATAACAAGTTTGTACCTGATGAGCTCAATGTCTGTGGAATTTGGTCTAGAGACTGGACAGAAGCAACAAATGCAAGTGGACCAATTCCACAAGAGAAATTCCTGTATTCCTATCGGGTGAACAAAAGCATAACTGGTTAACCAAACGTGAGGCGGATATATAGTATATCATCTAGGAATGAGTCTCTAAAGGCATTCGTGAGAAGAGTCGGTTCAAGAAGTTTCCAGAACAACTACTTCATGCTGTATGCCTTAATTAGAAAAGTGAATGCAGTTCAGAAAGGTGAAAGCAGAGAAACGACATGTGTCTTCCCATGGAGAAAGTCTTGCATTCAGATGAGTAAATTCACCACACTTCAAAGAGCAACTCGTGATGCATAGATAATTAGAAACGTGGATACAATACTTGATAACAGTGAACTATTAGACCTTATATTTTTTCAGAGTTCATACCCCATAATCATCTATGACATCTGTTAGGAATTTTGTAAGCATCGTAACCCCAACCGAAGCTTGTGCTCCTTCAGTATCTGAAGACGATGAAATAATGCTATCAAGATCATCCAAAATGATGACAGATGGTGCATGTTCCAAGCCCTCAGCTATTACACTAGACAGGACTTGATGGATGTGTTGAACCTTCTCTAAGGCAAGTGCAGAACAGGATAGCAGAATCCTGCACAAAGAAATCAATACTTAGACCACATCTGTACCAGAATTAGTCTCTTGACGATAGATGAAGTTGGTTGGAGTAGATCAGTACAGAAAAATGTATACGAAACGAAAACCACTCACACATGTGCCAACAAGTCCTTCTGTTCTTCGAAGTACTTTGCAGCAGCTCTTGCCAATATTGTCTTTCCTGAACCCTATAAACCAGAAGCATGAACCAGTAAACAACCAGGTTGTTACAATCAGTAGGAAAAATGGGAAATTAAGATACGACTCAAGCCAGGGAAACAATGATTCAAAACATTTCGGAACAGCAAATCTAAAGATTCCAGACAAACAATCAGATACTCATGCCCGACCAAAGGGATAGCCTTTGAATCAAAAAGGTACTAACATAGCAAGAGAAGGAATCAATTGGGAATTTACACCAATTTAATCCAAGGCTAAGATAAAAAGAACTAAATTCAAGACCAAGGGATACCACCTGAACTATAAAAAAAATGAGAACTCACAGGGGGGCCATATATGAGAATATGTCCAGGTGATGGAATACTGAACTTGCTAAACCACATTCCGGCTGCAGGAGACAACAACACGGTCATCCCTGCATAACAGCATTGTTGGGTTTAGGATCAGATCCGTTCATAGACATTCTCCAGATGCAATAAAGACGCAGGTTAATCAACCACATATGAAGATTGCTTAAGAAATTAGATTATCAAGAAAATTTTTAGTTGGTCAAACTATTGCTTCAAAGACATTGACATTTCATACGCAACTAGAACACATGCTATAACAAAAGCTAATACAGAATGAAACCAAATTTTAAGCTAAATATATGCTATCAGAAATTAAACATGAGATGTCTGCCTAACTTCTTCGAAATTTGCCAGGGTAAATATATCTTATCAGGTGCCCCTTTAGCTAAATAGCACTTATAGCCTTATACGTGATTGATTTATTAAATTTTTATCTGCAACCATAGATATAAATGATTATGTGTGCCAAATCATGCTTTTACGATTCAAGCAAGATGAAGCTAAGAGAGAGAAACCTACGCTTGATAACATCCAGCACAATTGGGCCCATCCACGTCAAGGAAGATATATCCGGGGAAACTCCTTTATTGAAGTGTGTATCTTTACGAGACGTCGTCAAATATCTCGGGCCATCAAAATTCATCTTCTCAAGTACTGGCTCAATATGCACCACATTGTCCCTCTTCTCACTTCTATCCAGGCTAAGCTCATACACAGCAAATTTATCACCAAGCAAAGACTCGTCAGAGACCGTCATGACGTACAAAATTTGTAAAGGAGTGTTTTTATGCTTCTTTCCACTTTCCCAACGATCATTACCAGAAGACTGTCTATCTCTTGATTTATCAGATTTGAGCCCTCTTACTTCAAAATGGAAAAACGTTTCTCTTCCTACAACTAACGAACTAACATCAACTCCTGCAACTGATGAAATAGCATCAAGTTGTGCCAATGACCACAAGCGAGTAAGGCATTCCAATCCTTTTTTATTCTTAACTTGATAGACATTATCTTGATTTCCTTTTTCATGCACACCCTCAGATGAAAGAGCTGTAACAACCTTATCATGCACAGACCAGTCAAAAACATCCATAGAGGTGCTCAAGCCAGAAGGTGGATGACTGCCTTTCCTGACAGAATTATGATTACCAAGCATATCTGCACTTCTATTTAGCACCTTTTCCTTTTCAGGAATCTTGAAGACGCAAGGAGAAAGTGCAAGAGCAGGAATTTCTTTGTCCACATTTACATTGCATCCCCTTAAGTAAACCCCTACATACAAATGATAACTCTTACTCAGAAATTTATGTTTCTGTGGTAACAAAGCTCAATTGAGAATGGAAACATGCAAAAGGATGCTTTTTATAATTTTTGGATTTATCTGCATGATAACTGAAAAATTTACCTTACAAGTTTACTTCCTGAGAGTAACAACAGCAACAAAAGCAAAACCATAAATTCTAATGTCGCATATTGTGGATAACCAGTCAAATTAACTTCAGCTCAGTCTTTCTGTACATTTTAATGACCAGATGAATAAGATTTCTACACTAACATCAAAATTCTGGACGTACATAAAACAAAAGCATCTGTATGTTTACTCAAAATGTACTCACATGAGTGTAGGCCTGCTCCTAGATAGAGACGAAGAGATTCGGACATCATTAGATGTCCTTTAGCAGCTAAATCTGAAAAGACAAGGCGAAGAATCGCTCGACGAGGCTCTTTCTTTTCGCTTGGAGTGCCATTTTCGGCCACCTTTGAAGCTTCACTGTTTTTCATATTTAAGGCTTCGTCCTTTTTTGCACTACCTTGCAAAGGTATTCTAGGGGATACAGAAATCAACTGAAGAGATTCTAGAAAGTATTTCTTGGCAGTTTCAGGATGAATATAGGCAATGGAAGTGAGGGCTACCCTTAGCTCAAAACCTTTGACATCAGCTTGATGAAAGACTGATTCATCAGTATCTTGTACACGTAATAGAACCTTCAGATTGCTACATTCTTTTCCTGGAGAAAACGCATCAGGACTCTTTTTTGCATTGAGGTTTCTGTCACGTCTCTTTGGAGCCACAGCCACTTCAGTTCCTGGCACAAGTTGTACTGAAAACGAGCCACCAGTCAAGACATTTCTGTCAGTAATAAAATTGTAATGATTGTAAGTATAAGACATTAGTAGTCATGGTCTCACCCTCCCATTTATTCTATTCCATGGAAGATATGTAATAAGAAGAAGAAACTTCGAAAGTATAGACAACGATAACACAACAAAGGTGAGGATTAAAGATGGTCTTACCCACCCCTTTTGATGGAAATGTTGAAACCACAGAAAATCTTATCACAGTTCGGTCATGCAACCACAAAGGGAATTTCATGGTCTCGTGCAGTAGCCTCACCTGAACACACAAGTTTAGAAAGTTCCTCAGCAGAGCATTTGCAAACTGAATATGCCATCGTCACAAACTATCGCATCTTGTACGAAGCAAGAAGATATCAGTACGCATAGAAATGAAAGGTAACGATGGTAAAAATTACAAATCAACGAGAAAGCTAAACGTTTACTTGTGGGTAAATCAAAACGTTTTAAACTGGTGACAAAAATAGAGGAACAATGGTAAAGTTAAGTATTCAAAATCTAGAGGAAAAAACTAACCTGACTAAGTATAGCTGCCTCGGCAAGTTCTGCATTGAGCTCAAGAACTTCCCAGTCATCTTCAGTGTCTGGTTCGACTGTTACTAAAGTAGCCTTGGGCACATTAGGGAGAACACGAACTTGAACAACTGTACCATCCGGCAACGAAATGCTTTCCGCAAAGACTCGAGCGACCTTAATAACAGAAACAAAATCAAAATATGGGGAAATGAAGAGTATCAGACATCCAAAGTAGATTACTGGATTTGACTAAACGAGATCAAATGAAGAGAGATAAAGAAACCTCGATCGCAGTGGAGGAGGAGGTGGAGCCGGACCAAGCTACTGACCAACGGCGGTCACCGGAGCGTAGCTCGACAGGGAGAAGCGGAGGAAGAGGAGAGGAGCTAGTGGATTGAAGCGCATGGAGTAGCTGACGAGGTAATGAGACAAAACAGTCTACGCCGGCGACGGTACGAACCACCGCTTCCGTTTCCATTGCGCCGGTGAGAATTATTAGCCGATATCGGGATAGGTACAATTTCCCAAGCTTATCTTCTTTGTCGAATTGCTAGCCCTCGTTTTGGGCTTCAATCATTTATTTTTTGGGTTTTTTTTATAAATTTCTTAGTTGGGCCTTTGAAAATCTAGTAATACATATCGACATATCTATCTATCTAATGAGTTTAAAACAAAATTAAATCAATCAATAAAAAAAAAAGAAGAGATTGAACTTACAACCCGAATCATTCCGGAACATGCATGATTTTAGCCGTTGTTGCTAAATGCTGTATCTCCGATGGATGGTAGCCAATAATGCTTACTCCGTCAAACGATTTGTGACTCGTTGAGCCACCACCCTGAGTTCAACCGATCTATATATGTGCTTGGATTCGTCGAAAAATTAACATATGGGTGATGAGTCTAATTCGAAACACACGTCGTCGGCGAAATCACTGAGATTGGTTTCGAGACCGAGACTACTACTGAGAGGATTCTACGGGTACACATTCGTTATATGTGAAATGGTTATCTTGTTTATGTTTTTGTGATTTAAACGAAGGTTTATATAATGAGACTTTTTTATAAAAATAAGGAAATTTCCTTTTTTCATATATATTATCACATCAAAAAGGAAATTTTCTTAAACAACCTTCTCTCTAAAAGAAAAAAGGAAACTTTAGGGTTGTTTTTCATCATATACAGTATGTTGCGATTCAAAACAAACAAACAAAAATATGAAAATTTATCACATCATTTTTTATTTTATTTTTTTGGTTAAAATTTTATCACATCATTATTCCGGTTTACTTTAAATATTTCAAAAAGTTGAAAACCAAACTTTATGTATACGATCGCTATGCATGAATTAAAGTCTCTACAACTTTCTTAACCAAGCATAATGCGGAGTAAGCTTCTACAATTGATATATGATGCAGTCATTAGGGAATCAACATTCAAATAAAAAAATATACAGGCCAAAGCCCATATGGATTGGGGACATGACATCAGACTCAGATATATATGTATCACCCAAAAAGGTAATAATGAGAAGAAAACAAGTAGGTACGCAATGGTACTACAAAACTGGAAAGTGGCAACAGATACATAAGAAAGAAGAAGGCTCTATCCTGTGATGAGTTTAGAGACGAGAGAGTTGAGAAAGATTAATAGGGTAACAATCTGACTTAGAACCGTTGAAAGCTCTGAGAGCAATTATGAGATTAAAAGCTTGTGTTGGATGAAATGCATCCCAAAACACGTGCCGGTCTCTGAAAGCACATGGTACCGCTAGTGGCAAACACGTTATTTCTCCCCTGTTTCTCCCTACTCCACAACATCCTCTATCCGTTACTTCGAATCCTACAATTTATGAATTTTAACCGGCTAATAAGCTAAAACGAATCATTTGATTTAGAAACATGTGAAAATAAGAGATGATGATGAATTCGTTACTTAACCGTAAGCAAAAGGGTTGGTGAGTATATCCACAGCAGCTCCATATGTATTGCCGTATACAAAGATGGCTTCACTGGTGGTTTTGTTATCGGAATTGAGACGATCCACCAGAGACACGAGGCGGCTGTTGAAAAGCTGAGCCATCTCGTTAACCGCCTCCACGCATTCACCTGGTGGAGCCGCTCGGGCTGCTAGTTGGTCCGGTATACAACCCAATGGACCTACACCGGCTATTACAAATTTCCTAAACCCCTTTCCATACAACTCCTAAACAAACAAAAAATATCGAATATTATAATTTTTGGACATAAATTTGTAACACTTGATAACCATAGATTCGTAACTATAACTATATATATATACGGTTTTTAGGCACCCGATGACAGACACATATATGGTTAATGATATGGTTGATTAGTAGTTAATTAAAGAAAATGGTAAAATTAAAGATGCATGTATATGGAGTAGGTAGATAAGACTTACAAGGAGATGAGTGGTGAAGTTGGAGATAAGGAGATCGGCGAAAGAAGTAGGGTCGTAAATGGAGCTTGCAAGGAAAAGCGATGGTTTCAGATAATTGTTAATGTAGTCATTGTTCCCCAATGAGACCACCACCAATGACTTTGCCATAAACTCCTTTACTGACTCTGGTCTACTCATCTCTGTTATCTCCACTAATGTCTTCTCGAAGTTCTCCACTTGTCTTCCCATGCTGAATCTCTCTCCCTTCATGCATGCAAACTCCACATTTAATTATTATACTAAAACTCATGTGCCTGTCTCTAGGCAAAAGCTTCATGCACCCAATCAAAGTCACTCCACATTTAATACTCTCTCTTCGTGATTCAAATGTGGCTAGCCAAATTATAAATCTATCTACTAAAGTCGTGTGATTAAATAAAATTTTACAAAAATATATGTTTTCGGTTTTATTTTAATTTGGAAGTTTCGAACGTGGATGCTTTATATGAAAATCCATCAATGTTAAACCGATTACATCAATTTCAGTGGACCAAAATGTCGATATTAACTTAACACACGCGAAAAAAAACATTTAAAGTCTACTTAATCAAATTGTTTTGATAGATTTTGAGAAAACATATATAAACATAAAGATATACCAGATGGCGACCGGTTTCTTCTAAGATTCCTCCGGCAGCCGAAGCATAGTTCACTCCCCGGCGAATATCAACTCCTCCGTCAACCGTGTCCATAAACGCCGGTATCTCCGGCAGCCCTAGCAACTCTCCTGCAACCATCCATGTCCATCCCCATTATAAATAACAAAGAAAGAAGAAACCAGATATTCCGAAATGTTGTATAAATCAAAACAAAACTGTGTAAGTTAACGCAAAACGAGAAGTAAAAAATCTTGTCCTAAACATTTATGCATGCACAGACCAGTGTATACGTATATATGTACCGATGAAATCTACGATAGTTTTGCCGTTAGAGAAGCGACCGGTAGGTTGATTTCCGGCGTAATCAATGCCGTAAGGGAGATAGTTGGACCTAGCCAATGAGTTCAAGTGGTTATTGTTTCCGTTGTCCACCAACGAGTCTCCGAACACAAACATCGCCGGGAACATTGCCGTCTCCGATGAGTCTTCTCCACCGGCGAGTACAGCTACTACTACAAAACATGATACAATTGCTAATGATTGTACTGTGAAAGACGACATTATTGTGTGCTTTATAAAAATTTGAATATTTCACTCTCATGCATGGTCGCTCGAGATATAAGTAGAGATCATGAATGTCATGGTGGCTTTTTCATTTTTAGTTTATTTAATTCGTATCAGTGAATTTAATGAGCTCTGTTTTTGCCGTTGACTTATAAAACAAAATATTGTATTTTAGAAATATATGTTACAATTACTAATGAGATATTATTCGATATCACATATCATATCCCGTTGATCTAGTAATTGTTGTAATTAGTTTCCTTACTTGTTGATACCTAAAGCTTGGTTACTACGCCTCTGTTTTGTATATATTCTACTACTCAATTATCAATATACACAGAACACATTATTCAGTCATCTCTTACCTCTGTTCGTTCATGGTATCAGAGCTGGTTAAAACATAATATTTTTTTCCATTTCCTTGATTTTTTTTCTGATACTCGATCATGTCTGCAATCAACCCGACCGAACCGAACACGAACACGAACACGATGACCGGCGAGGTGAGACGCAAGATCTCTCCTTACGACTTGAGTGCTGCGGATAATCCGGGCGCTGTGATTTCGTTGCCTTTGTTGAAAGGAACGAATTATGAAGAATGGGCTTGTGGACTGAAGACAGCTCTCTGCTCACGAAAGAAGTTTGGCTTCTTAGATGGATCTATTGCTCGACCAGAAGAAGGATCTGCTGATCTCGATGATTGGTGGACAATTCAGGCGTTGTTGGTCTCCTGGATTCGTATGACGGTCGATCCGTCTCTTCGTTCTAACATATCTCACCGTGACGTGGCCAAAGATCTGTGGGATCACCTGAAGAAACGTTTTTCTGTCACTAATGGTCCTCGTATCCAGCAGCTGAAGGCGGAGCTAGCTTGCTGCAAGCAACGAGGACTCGCCATTGAAGCATATTATGGGAAGCTCAATCGGATTTGGGATAGCATGGCCAACCACAGGCCTCTACGTCTCTGCAAATGTGGCAAATGTGAGTGCAATCTCAATGACTTGCAAGAGAAAGATAGAGAAGAAGACAAGGTTCATGATTTTTTATCTGGACTTGATGAATCTTTCATGACGGTGCGATCGAGTTTCGTTTCACGCACACCGCTTCAGCCAATGGAGGAAGTGTACAATGTCGTCCGTCAAGAAGAAGATTTGCGACACAATTCTCGCAAAAGTGATGATGTATCTGATGTCACAGCCTATGCTGTTCATCAAAAAGCTCGTCACTCCTCTGCTCTTCGTGGTGATGATGGGGCGAGTTTGTGTAAACACTGTAATCGTAGCGGTCATCCCTCTAACAGTTGCTTCGCTGTAATTGGCTATCCGGAGTGGTGGGGAGAGCGCCCGAGAAGCAGAGCAGTACAAGGAAGAGGGCGTGGTGTCTCTGCTGGTGTCTCAAGCGGCGGACGTGGCCGGGTCTTAAGCTATGCAAACGCCGCCGTACATGTTCCTAACTCCTCGGGTCTTGCACAAGCTAATTACGTGGTGACTGATTCCGATCGTGATGGTGTAAGCGCTTTGAGCAATAATGAATGGCAGCAGCTTAAGAAGCTTCTCAATGCTGGATCTAATGGTGGAGCAAATTCCAGCTCTGAAAAGCTTTCTGGTAAGTATTACTCACCTTCTGGGATTTTGGATTCAGGAGCATCACATCATCTCACTGGCAATTATGATCTTCTCACAAATGTCAGAGATATGGAACCTGTTTTAGTGATTTTGGCAGATGGTAGAGAAAGAATTTCTGATAAGGAAGGCACTGTTGTCTTAGGGACAAATTTGCTCTTCTGTGTTTTATGTTGAAGAATTTCAGTCTGATCTTGTCTCAATGGGTCAGTTGATGGATGAGAATCGTTGTGTAGTTCAAATGACTGACCGCTTCCTTGTCATTCAGGACCGCGTTTCGAAGATGATGATTGGTGCGGGGATACGTGACTGCGGTACGTTCCGTCTGTGTCGTATGGAGGTGGTGGCGTCCGTAACAACTAAAGATGCTAAGGAATATGAATTGTGGCATAGTAGAATGGGTCATCCTTCCGCAAGAGTAGTGGGTTTACTTCCGAATGTTTATGTTTCTGTTGTTTCTGAAAATTCCAATAAGGCGTGTGATGCTTGTTTCCGCGCTAAACAAACACGATCTTGTTTTCCACAAAGTGATAATAAAACCTCATCAGTTTTTGAGCTTATTCATTGTGATCTTTGGGGACCATATAGAACTCCCTCGTCATCTGGTTCTCGGTACTTTCTCACCATTGTGGATGATTATTCACGAAGTGTTTGGGTGTATCTTCAACAAGACAAGTCTGAAACATCCAAAAATCTGAAAAATTTGATCTCGTTAGCAGAACGTCAATTTCAGAAACATGTTCGACGTGTGCGTAGTGACAATGGAACAGAGTTTGTCTCCATGGGTGAATTCTTTCGTTCTCATGGTATAATCCATGAAACTTCTTGTGTGGGAACACCTCAGCAGAACGGACGGGTCGAACGAAAGCATCGTCATATACTTAACGTTGCTAGAGCAATCCGTTTTCACTCTCATCTACCGGTTCGATTTTGGGGTGAATGCATCTTAACAGCCGGCTATCTGATCAATCGCACTCCAAGCTCTGTGATGAATGGGTTAACTCCCTATGAGAAGTTGCATGGTGTTGCTCCTTCATATGATCACATAAAAGTTTTTGGGAGTTTGTGTTATGCTCATAATCAATCACATAAAGGAGATAAGTTTGCTCCCCGGAGTCGAAAGTGTATATTTCTGGGGTATCCATACGGTAAAAAGGCTTGGCGAGTGTATGATGTTGATACACACGAAATTTTCGCTTCAAGGGATGTTGTTTTTTATGAGACAGAGTTTCTCTCTTTCAAAGATGTCTCCTCTGTTGTCGAAGAAGAAGAAGAACGTGTTTGGGATTCTAATTTTGGGTTACTTGAAGAAGCTGAAATTCGGCCCACTACTGTTATTCCTGTGACAGGCCCATCTGCAGAAGCAAGCCCATTGGAAAGAGATAGCCTTACAAGCTCATCTTCTCCATCTTCTTCGTCTCGTCATTCCCTGGAACAGAACACGTCCCCATCCTCCTTGCTGTCCTCGCCGTCTTCGTCGTCTTCCGCCGCGATTACACCACCAGCTACTCCGTCATCTTCGCCGCCTGTGACAGATTCTGAGGACGAAGGGGATCAGGTGTATTCTCCCGACATAGAGGCTCCACCTCTCCGTCGTAGTTCCCGACCACGACAGCTACCGGTGACATTGAATGGCTACGTCGTTAACACGGCTCAATCACGAGTTTTGGGTAATTCGGCGTCTTTGTATCCAATTGGGAATTACGTGAGTTGTAAACGCTTCTCTGCTACACATCGAGCTTACTTGGTCGCTATCACCGAGGCTGTGGAACCTCGGTCATACAAGCAAGCAATTACGAGTAATGTGTGGACTAAAGCGATGGGGTCTGAGCTCTTGAAGATAACCAGACTTGGACAGTAGAGGATCTTCCTCCTGGTAAGACTGCTATTGGGTGCAAGTGGGTGTATAAAATTAAACACAACTCCGATGGCACTGTTGAACGATACAAGGCACGTTTAGTTGCTCTAGGCAACAAACAGATTGAGGGTGTGGATTATGGTGAAACATTTGCACCGGTGGCACGAATGCAAACTGTTCGTATGTTCTTAGAAGTAGCTGCTGGCAATAACTGGCCTGTACATCAGATGGATGTACATAACGCTTTCTTACATGGCGATCTTACTGAGGAAGTCTACATGAAACCACCTCGAGGTTATTCTGCAGCTGCAAACAAGGTGTGTCGTCTTCGAAAATCTCTTTATGGGCTTAAGCAAGCCCCTCGCTGCTGGTTTGCAAAGCTAACAACATCCTTGCGAAAGTACGGGTTTGTTCAGTCTCTATCTGATTATTCTTTGTTCAGTTTTGATAAAAGAGGGGTTCATATCAACATTCTTATATATGTTGATGACATGATTGTTACGAGTAATTCGACCGCAGCGTTAACTCGTTTCAAAGAATATTTGGCGTCTTGTTTCAAGATGAAAGATCTAGGTGCTTTGAAATATTTTTTGGGTATAGAGGTCTCAAGGAGTTCAGCTGGTTTTTATCTTAGTCAGCGCAAGTATGCAATGGAGATTGTCGCTGATGCCGGTTTGTTGGGTTCTAAGCCGGCTCCTTTTCCTCTAGAACAGAATCATCATTTGGCATTGTCTACTTCTCCTTTTCTACCGGATCCTGAACCATATCGGCGAATGATTGGTCGTTTGATCTATTTGGCTGCCACTAGACCTGATTTGACGTTTAGTGTTCATATTCTTGCTCAGTTTATGAAATCACCCCGGGAAGATCATTGGCAAGCAGCCCTACGGGTGATTCAATATTTGAAAGGCACTCCCGGACAAGGCATTTTGTTGAAAGCTCAAAAGGATTTTCAAATCATCGGCTGGTGTGACTCAGATTACTCTAGCTGTCCTCTCTCGCGTCGATCAGTTTCTGGGTATTTTGTGCAACTAGGTTCTTCTCCGGTGTCTTGGAAGACAAAGAAGCAAGACACCGTTAGTATGTCCTCCGCAGAGGCTGAATATCGTGCAATGGCTTATATCACCAAAGAACTTCTCTGGCTCAAACGAGTTTTGCATGATCTTGGTATTGCTCATTCACAACCGATGCGACTATATTGCGACAGTCAATCTGCAATACATATTGCTACTAATCCAGTTTTCCACGAGCGTACGAAGCATATCGAGAATGACTGTCACTTTGTTCGTCATCATATCCAGTCCAACAATCTTGCACTCATTCATGTCGAAAGCCGGTCTCAGCTTGCTGATATTTTTACAAAACCACTCGGCAAGACATGTTTTGCTGATTTCCGGGTCAATCTGGGCATCTTGAACCTCCATGCTCCAGCTTGAGGGGGGGTAATGAGATATTATTCGATATCACATATCATATCCCGTTGATCTAGTAATTGTTGTAATTAGTTTCCTTACTTGTTGATACCTAAAGCTTGGGTACTACGCCTCTGTTTTGTATATAT